CCTCCAGTTCGACATCCAATACAACAAAGTCTACAATTTCGACATCATCTACAAGTTCGTCTGCTTCCTCTTCCACAACAACAAAGTCGAATAATAGTGGTCATGATTCGCCCAGCAATACAAATAGTTTAATAAATTATCGGCGTTCCGAATCTTCGGCCAGTGGTAATCCATCGACAAAATCCCAACAAAGGAGACAGGGAAATACGGATCAAACAAAGGGTAATAATAATACAACTAGTGGAGGTGCGAGTTCGAGTTCGGTTATTGCTTTGGGTACTCCACAAAAATCCTCAGTGTCGCAGAATCAGAGTTCAGCATCAGCAGCATCCCACTCTACAAATTCTAAACCTTTATCCAAACCAAATACTTCATCGGCTAATCAAAAATCTCAACAAAAACAAACCACCACTTCATCAACCTCATCCTCCACCTCCTCATCGATCTCCTCCTCATCGACGTCCTCCTCCAATTCACATAATCTGTCTAATAATTCCGGCAAGTCATCGTCAGCTAGTCTGGGTGGTGAAACAAGTCGGACCATGAACATGGGTATTTTATATCCCAAAAATCAGGACAAATCCTCCACCTCCTCAAAACCCAATTCACCCATGAATATGGGTATTGTTTATCCCAGATCCTCCGGCTCAACAAAATCCAATAACAACACCACCACGAGCGCATCATCATCTTCATCCACCACCTCTGAAATGCAAATAATACCCACCTCTTCGCCGCCCGGAACCACCAGCATATCGAAGCAATTAAATGATCTGTCACCCAGTATATCATTAACAGCTGTTACCAAACAAACGACGCCAGCGGGAGGTACAAATAAATCTGGGTCAGGGGGTGGTGGGTCAGGTGCAATAAATATCAAAAGTCTAAGTGGTAGCTCCACCACCTCCTCCGCCTCCTCGATACAAATTAATAAGGTTTTACAAAACAATACGACCATACGTAGGACCTCAAGTCCAGTTCAGGTGGCTGGGGGTTCAAAACAACAATCAGGAAACCCCACCAACGCAACGGGTCAAAATGCCAGCAATATTTTGGCCCGCTTCAAGGCCAAATTACCACAAAATAACAGCAGCAGCAACAATCCACCACCCCTACATCGGGCCAATACCACATTGGGAATTACACAAAAAACACCCACTGTCAACCTAACCTCCAAAACTCCATCGGGTCTAATTATTACCAATGTAAAAACGCCCATCAAACAACAACAAAATTTTGGCAACAACAAAGGAATAACCCCTACAACAACAACAAGTGGCAGCAGCAACCAGGCGGCCGTATCCACCCTGGCCAAACAACAGGCTGCTGTATCAGTGGCCAAATCCAATAGCCAACAAAGGATAACCCCCACCTCCCCCTCCATAAATTTACAAAAATCCTCCTCTAACAATAACCTGACCTCCATATCCTCCCTTAAGGGTGGCACAATTATCAAGAAAACCAATCTAACCCCAGCTGGACGTCACAAACTACCCGTCTCTCTCAGTAATTCGCCCTCGTTGACGGTGACCTCCAGCAATAAATTACCCATAATTAGCAGTGTCAAATCGATTTCACCTGCCATGGCGGCCAGTATGGCCGCTGCATCATCGTCCTCTGGGAAATCGACAACAATTTCCAAAATCACAACATCCTCCGGTTTGGTCAATAAACCCTCGGTGGTAAATGTGGCCAAAACATTGGCCCAAATGCAAAAGCGAATGTCCTCCTCAATGTCCGCCACAATGGTGGCGGCCTCCTCTTCATCATCACAATCATCGACGACGGCAGCAGGAGGGAGTTCAATGCGTAACACAGTCAACATACGACCTGTGGTAATGGATTCTAAACAGAATTCTGCTAATATAGCGGGTGGTGGGGGTAATGCTGCCGGCAGCGGGGGTGGTGTCTATATTATTGAGACAAATATCAATGATAAAAAAGTGGCAATAGGAGCACCGACCAAAAGGTAAGTCAAATAATATTTAAATCTACAAAAAATATTTTTCCACGGCCTACATTTTTTAAATAATTTTTTTGGTCCGAGTCTACTAGACGTCTTGCGCGTTGATACCATCAGCTTGGTCTTCTCGCCGTTTACTGCCAGACCCACTTTGGCAGGTTTGAAGCCGCATTGGTATGGTCCAATGATGTCATTGACCATTGGCTTCAGTCGTTCACCACATAGCACACTGGATAGCATTTTATATGCGATGGGAAGGAGACTTATTCCTCTATAGTTGGCACATATTGTCTTGTCTCCTTTCTTGTGCACGGGACACAGGATACTGAGGTTCCAATCATTGGGCATGCATTCCTCTAGCTAAATTGTACTAATCAGCTGGTGCATGCTCCTGACCAGAATCCGACCACCAGTCTTGAATAGTTCGGCTGGTAACCCATCGGCTCCTCCTGCTGCTTTATTGTTCTTGAGCCGATTAATTACTTTTATGACCTCATCTTGGCTAGGTGGTATACACTCTATACCGCCATCTATTATTGGTTCTGGGGTATCCTCTTCGCCGCTAATATTTGGTATCAGGAGTTTTTCAAAATGCTCCTACCAGATCCTCAGCACGCTGTCTGTACCCGTCACCAGGTTTCCTTCTTTATCTCTACAGGAGGATGTGCCTGCATCAAAGCCTTTGGTTTGGTGTTCTACTCGTTGGTAAAATTTCCGGACTTCATTCTGACTCCTGTACATCTCGATATGCTCACGCTCACGTTTTTCTTGCTCTTGCTTCTTTTTTCTGAAAATACGTTTCTCCTCCCTAGTTTTCTCCCGATAGTACTCCATCGCATTACGTATTGCTACTGTCCGCAGGGTTGCCCTATACGCAGCGTTTTTCATATCAGTAGCATTACTACACTCCTGATCGTACCACGGATTTCTTGATGGTGGTCTTTGGTACCCAAATGTTGCATTTGCTGCAGTTTGTAGGGTGTGGGCAATTTTCTGCCATTGTGCTTCTATATTATTATCGGGACAAGGGGTGCTTTCGTCAAGCAGTTGGATAAGTTGAGCGGAGTAGGCCTCTGCTACCTGTTGTGTTTGCAGCTTTTCGGCGTCGAGTTTCCGTGTACATTAGATCGCACCTTTGCTGCTACATTAAGACGGGTCTGTACCTTGGCTGCCACAAGGTAATGGTCCGAATCGATATTCGCTCCTCGGATCGATCGGACGTCTAAAACACTGAGACTGATGTAGAAGAACTTCACTTTTATATGGATTATAGCAATTCGCTAATCTACTGGAGTGAATCTGGAGACGAGGTCTTTTATTCTCCTGTTAACCATAAATCCGCAGCCAAATTCACGTCTCGTTTCATGGCAGCTATAATATATATATATTTTTTTAATAATTTTTTTTGGGGGACAGGCGTGGGTTTTTTAATAATTTTAAAGTCTTTTAAAAAATCAATATTAACCCAATTTTTATTTGGTTTTTATTTCTTTCCAGTGGCGGTGGTACAACAGTAACCAAAGTATCTGCTCAAAATCCAAATAAACGCAAGAATGCCGATCCTCTGTCTAAGGAAATCACTATCGAAACTAAACGTCTAAAAAATTAATTTAATAGAAATTTATTTAAAACAAAAAATATATATTTTTAAATATATGTTTTATACTTGCTATTTTTTACGATAAACTATAGCTTTCGTGTAATAAGCCGAACGGTAAAAAAATTAACTTAACACAATATTTGAAGTGATTACATTTTGGTTTTATTATATATAAATATAAATTATGGAATAACCTTAGTATTTAAGCTCTTAAAACTATTCACTAAAATGTATTATAAGATTATCGGTTTTTTAAATCAAATTAAAATTAAGCAACTTAGGTGAACAAGGAATTGTTATCTATTTTTGTTTTCTTTATTTCTCTTTTATATTATTAAAATTTTGTATGTATAAACTATTAAAAAAAATACTATTTTTTTTTTTTTTTTTGTAAACGTATCAATAATTTTCGTTTATGTATTACTATATAAATATACATATATTTATGTATAATATTAAGTGTATAAAAAATATGTGCAACAATTTTAACTATAACAAATACCTATGTGCATGAACGGATATATCAATAAACAAAATACACAAATGATCGAATAGTCATTAAAGAAAAAATATTTAAAAAACCCAGCCTGTCCCCGAAAAAAATGATTTAAAAAATCCACGCCTGTCCCCGAAAAAATAAAAAATCCACGTCAGTCCCTAAAAAAATGGTTTAAAAAATCCACACCTGCCCCCAAAGAAATAAAAAAACCCACGCCTGAAAATCTTTTTTAAGCTCGGCTTATGGAACAACCGTTCTGTAACAAGCCAAGTAAGGTCTAAAATCGATCTATACATCCCTATGTGAAACGTCAACAATAGCCATTTGTTGCTCTCTTTCTTGCTACAGCTGTTCTTGTTAGCCAAGACTGGCGCCATTATTCTTCACATGCATTTGTAAACACCGGTTTGTTGGTGGAACGTTTTTCATTTTGTTTGGTTGAACAAAACAAATATGGCAATGTGGCATAATGCAGTCAGCCAGCCAGCCATATGTCAACGTTGGCGACACTATTGAGTGAGAGAGTACCAAACAAAGAACAACGTAAATAAAATTTAATTCTGGAAGCAAAAAAAGCTTTAAATATACAGACAATTTTGCGGTTAGTAAAAAAATAAACCACAATTGCATTAAACCAAGAGTAGGAGGAGAGGTAGGAAGGTCATTTTAAATCGCTTGCGGTTAAAAATAAGAAAAACATGTTTTCCAATTGCAGCTGCTGTGTTGGTCGGCTATTAAACACAAGAATAGTTCCGCGTGTTTCTGTTTAGGCAAAGAGAGGGGAAGAGAGATAGAGCAACAAACCACAAACAAATCAAATCAATAAGCGGTGAATTTATCTGCTTGAACCTATCTAACATTTGTCTAATCAACCTCCAAAGTCCATTAGTGCGTGTGTGCTGACGCTGCTCAAACCGTATATTCCATACACAACGACATTTCATTTCTCTACGACATGTCTCAGCAACCTGTTGCATTTTTAACCCGCAAAGAAACCTTTAGCGCTTGCCATCGCCTGCACAGGTAAGAACGTAAATGTAAACAAAAAATATTTATAAATAAATATTCAGATATCAATTATTCCAAGGTTGCTGGTGGTAGTGGTGTTGTTGATGACGATGATGATTTATTTCCACGGAATTTCATATTTTTAACTTTCCTTTGTTCGGCACGACGACTGCACCACCACATCTAGTATTTATTTGTTAAAGCTCCTTTCACTTTCATTATTTGTTGTTTATTTCTTTGTGTTGATGGTTTTTTTGTTTATTTTATATTATCTCCCCCAATCCCAATGTATACAGTTTTTTCATTTGAGTATTTTTTCCATTTTCAGTAAACATTTGAGTGATGCCGAAAACCGTGAAATTTATGGAAAATGTAACAATCCAAATGGCCATGGCCACAATTATACGGGTGAGTGATAATACAAAGAAACCTACCTAAAAATGCCACATAACTATTAGGTCATGTCAGGTTCAACAACGAAAATAAATCAAGTTCAAAACTCCACATTGATATGGCAACAGGTTTACCAAGCTAATCTAGCAACCATTTAGTGTAGTCAAATATAGATGGCGTCATATGGTTCTAGCACAATGGTTTAGGCTTAACTGAAACAAAGATTTTTTCAATAGGATGTTTTAAAACAATTTTTTTTTCAATGTCCAAATAAGGCATGCATTTTTAAATATTTCTTCAAGGCCCTTAACAGGCGTGGATTAAAAAAAATTCAAAATCCCTAACAAGCGTGGATTTTTTAAAATAATTTGGATATTTTAAATAATTTTTTCAAAGTCCATAGGTTAGGTTAGGTATGTACCGTTGTTAGTAACTACCGTCCACTCGGAGACTAATGTCCATTGTGATCATCCTTTTTACCTGCAAAGAGAATAAAGAGAGACGGGAAGAGCAAGGAGAAAAGATAGCGAGAGAAGTAGAGCGGAGAAATGGTTATTTTAGACATGCCACATTTTTGACAAAGCCTATGATCTGGTTTGGGGCTATTTTAGAGTAGAAAGTTAGATTATCAATTTCATATCTTCCAAACTGTTTATGTCTTCTGCCAAACAGCGATGGACATTTACAGAGGATATGTTCAATTGTTTCTATTTCTTCTTCGTCCTCACATAGACGAAAGTAATCCTATCCGCTGGAGTCCCACTTCGAAGTGAGAGATCTAATCTTGCAGTGATCTGTTATGATCCCCACAATAATTTTGATCTCTCTCTTATTGTGTGCCTTATTGTCTTCTTAAGGAAGTTCGCAGTCTCCTTAGAGGAAGAGGTCTTTCAGATAGCTGTCGACCAGCAACCATTTATCCTCGCTGATAATCCCGTCAGGGTCAGCTCGGTCCATGATTGCTACTCGTAGATCATCCGGAACCTCTTGTGAAGCAGCAGAGTCGCTGAGCTCCGTTGTAGGTTTCTGGCCTACCAGACAGCGTGTTTGGTTTCCACCACACACTCACCGCTCTTGGTAGGTTTCTCGACGCAAACGAAGCAGAGCTTTGTTGTTGTAGCAGCCCTATTGCTTTTACACAATGGGCTGAGGTGACAGACGTTGGCCGAGTAAGACTCGGGTCGTTCCGGATCGTAGACCCCTCTATCGTGGAAACGAAGCAGAGCTTTGTTGTTGTTGTTGTAGCAGCCCTATTGCTTTTACACAATGGGTTGAGGTGACACACGTTGGCCGAGTATAACTCGGGTCGTTTCGGATCGTAGACCCCTCTGTCGTGGATGCGCAGAGCTTTGTGCAGCTGACGACTGAGTGAGTCTCTTCGCAGCAGGTTGTTGTTCCTCCAAGGACCTCATTCTCTTGACAGCTGTGGGTTGTGGTCAAGATTTGCACCCGGGGTTGCAACCACCGCCGACCTGCTTAGCGCTCGCTACCTTCGGCTCATCCACTAGCAACTGCCCAATTGTCACAGACTTGGGTATCGACAGAGGGTGGATTGCCAGATGGTGGTTGTGCCTTATCGGTCTTCTTGGAGGCCTTTTTACGGACTCTCCTTCCGGCCGACTTCGAGAGTTCCCTACCTTTCGTCTTTGTGGATGCTGGTGTCTGGACGTCTCAGTACTCGGTTTGCCCTTGGGAGGTGCTGAGGGCTTAGAAGTCTCAGGCATCAGCTTGCAAAGTGCACTAGAACCCCCGACAGAATTCTCCTTCTTTGAAGGGACTACCGTGGTGGTCTTCGTACTGGGTCGGGGGATCGTTTCAATCATGAAGAACTTCCGTATAAATTTGAGGTTCTTCTCGATTAAAAGGAACTCCTTTCCCGTGATGGAGCCGCTGTCCGGTCCGATGAATCGGTTACAGTAGTACAATGCTCTTCGGTACATCTTCTTGGTAGCGATCTCCTTGGCATCGACTTGCCTAGGAGTTACTGGTACTGATGAAACATCTATCTTATCGACGGGGGTCTCATCAGGACCAGTATCCGTTTCGATAGCCAACTGCCTGATTAATTTCGCGACATCACTACAGGCCGTGGAGATTGAGTGCTGATCTTCAATATCGCCAGGGTGTACTTCCCTAGTCAGCAACTGGGAGGACTCTCCATGGTTCGGTGGGGACACCATGGTCGCTACCGTGTTTGTCACCTTAGTTTTAATCGCTGTAGTTTCCATGATGTCTTCCTCGTCTGACAAGGGCGAGTCATCCCAGAGCTGATTCGGGATGCGGAAGGTGCCGGTTGCCTCTATTAAGTTGAGGAGAAGATCCGACTGCCTCTCCAGCATGATTACTAAAATTCGGCTGTATGTGAGGGATTGAGGTCGACCATGGCATACCCTCTTACCATGACAAAGACTTGGCAGCTAAGCCTGAATAAGCTTGTTGAGGCGCCCAGGTATTAACAAGGCTCCGTTCTAATACAGTCGGGACCCTGACTGCAAACCGTAGAACTCTGATAGGCACGAGGTCGCATGACACCCCAGTATTAGGGAGGTCATTTTAAAAGGTAGTAACCCAGACCTTTGAGATGGTTATTTAGTGGCGCTATTCTCGCCTCGTCGGCCCATGGATCATAGGCACTCGGTCAGACTGCCCCCCTGAGCCCGCTGATTGTCCGTGACTGTTTATTTGTTATTCACAGCTACCCAATGAATAATATTGGGCTTCCAACTATCCGCAAACCTGTGGACGCGTCCGTTAGCATTAAGCTCTGCGGGCGCGGATTTTTTAAATATTTTTTTTTGAGGCTTGAATTTTTTTATTATTTTTTTATTTATTTTGAAAACATTTTTATAAATAGTTCTTTTTTTATGTTTTATTCTTTTCTACATAGTCGAAGTAACTGTCCGAGGCCCCATTGATGTTCGCACTGGCATGGTCATGAACATAACAGACCTAAAATTCGCCATGGATGGTGTCATCTTCAAACAATTGGATCACAAGAATTTGGACAAAGATGTGGAATTCTTTCAAAATACGGTAAGTAAAATGGAGAACCTGTTTTTTTCATTTTCAATTCATGTTGATTAATTTCCTTGCAGCCCAGTACAACAGAAAATCTCAGCGTTTTCATATGGGACAATGTACGTCAGGCCCTCAAACGTCCCGAACTATTGTATGAAGTGAAAATCTATGAAACCGATAAAAATTCCGTTACCTATCGTGGTCCATATTTACAAAATGGCCAGTATATGTTGAATAAACGTTCGGCCAAGACAAGTTGTACAAACATTTCATCGGATTCGGATTAAAAAAGAAAATATACACGAAGACATTTATGTGCAAGCAATTGGATATTAAAAATATTTAAATAATTATCATCACCACAGCAACAACTACTAATTGATATGACATAGCTTTGTTGTTGATATTATTATTACACATTTTTTATATGATTTTTTTGCAATTATTACAGGAAAATATTATTATTATTTTTTTAATTAATGCAAGCAAAGATATGCATGTGATTTATATTGTTATAGAATTACACTTATGATTTATATATATGTACGTTTATCTGTAAAATTAAGGAACCATTTTTTTGTATGATGAGTGTATCATCTCCTTCACCTATTATTCCTATAATAGATATGCTTCTAGAAAAACAAAAAACTACAATAAAACAAAACAAATATATTTTGTGTGCTAACATGAAGAATATAGAAGCCTATGATTTAAACAGCAAATTGTATCCATCCCCCATAAAATTGCAATGGAGATCAAATCACATACTCCTCAAGATTCAGTCAATATCCAAATCAGCCTTCTAACTGGAACTTTTTCGTTTAAAATTTCTGCTGTGTCTGTGCATCGCTGATAAAGATCCACCACTACACGTTCTCTCAGTGTCAAGGTTAATACAAACAGATGCTAAACTAACACCACCGAATGAGTAGTTCTCTGCCATTGCAAAACAAAAACAAATGATCACGCAATGAATTTGATGAAGATAAGGTTTAAAAAAAAAAATCATTTATTATCAACTAAAATTGGAACACAAAATTATGACGCAATATGCATGGCGATTAAAATTGGGTTATAAATGATATCCAAAAGATAAAAATATTTTTTTTTTGAATCGTATATATTTGAGGCGTGGATTTTGTAAATATTTTTTTTAAGGAACCTAACCGGCGTGGATTTTGTAAATATTTTTTTTGAGGGTCCCTATGAATCGTGGATTTTGTAAATATTTTTTTGAGGGTACCCATGAGGCGTGGATTTTATTAAATAATTTTTTTGGGGGTCCCTATGGGGCATGGATTTTTTAAATATTTTTTTTTGAGGGTCCCTATGAGGCGTGGATTTTATTAAATAATTTTTTCAGGGTCCCTATGAGGCGTGGATTTTATTAAATAATTTTTTCAGGGTCCCTATGAGGCGTGGATTTTATTAAATAATTTTTTCAGGGTCCCTATGAGGCGTGGATTTTATTAAATAATTTTTTCAGGGTCCCTATGAGGCGTGGATTTTATTAAATAATTTTTTCAGGGTCCCTATGAGGCGTGGATTTTATTAAATAATTTTTTTGGGGGTCCCTATGGGGCATGGATTTTTTGAGGGTCCCTATGAGGCGTGGATTTTATAAAATAATTTTTTCAGGGTCCCTATGAGGCGTGGATTTTATTAAATAATTTTTTCAGGGTCCCTATGAGGCGTGGATTTTATTAAATAATTTTTTCAGGGTCCCTATGAGGCGTGGATTTTATTAAATAATTTTTTCAGGGTCCCTATGAGGCGTGGATTTTATTAAATAATTTTTTCAGGGTCCCTATGAGGCGTGGATTTTATTAAATAATTTTTTCAGGGTCCCTATGAGGCGTGGATTTTATTAAATAATTTTTTCAGGGTCCCTATGAGGCGTGGATTTTATTAAATAATTTTTTCAGGGTCCCTATGAGGCGTGGATTTTATTAAATAATTTTTTCAGGGTCCCTATGAGGCGTGGATTTTATTAAATAATTTTTTCAGGGTCCCTATGAGGCGTGGATTTTATTAAATAATTTTTTCAGGGTCCCTATGAGGCGTGGATTTTATTAAATAATTTTTTCAGGGTCCCTATGAGGCGTGGATTTTATTAAATATTTTTTTTTGGGGATGATAGATGACGTTGTGGATGGATCGATACCAAGCAAGAGCTCTGATTGGCTTTAACATGGCGAAGTCCAGGCTTATCTTGGTCCCTCTTTCATCTCAATTGTGGACACTGTCCTCCCCGCGGTGCCACCAGGGGAGCTATTTTCGTCACCCGATGAAATAGTGAGCTAATATGTGCCGCGAGTTCTCCCATAAAAAAATGGGTTGAGGCGTCGGGTTAGTTGTCCACACTCTGTAAACCCCTCTTACTATGAAAAAGCAACAAAAAAGAAAACCAAACGCCCCCCTTGAAAAAAATATAAAAAATTGCTTTTAAGAATCTACGTTTTTTTTTATTTCAACTTCTTAAGACCACTCAAGAATTCATGCAACAATTTCAACTGTTCCGTCACTGAAATCGTGGCAGTGCCTCCAATCACATCATAATGTTCCACATTGTCGCCGTAATCGGCCACTTTGAAAATATCCACATCAAAGTGAGGGCATATCTGCTGCAAATCGCCTAAGGGAATTTCATTAATGTCCAAGGACATGCGTTCGGCATGGGCCACCACGGCGCCAATATAATGATGGGCCTTGCGGAATGGTACTCCTTTGCGGACCAAATAATAGGCCTAGAAAAAAATCAAATTAATACCACTTTCAAATGTAGCTCAAAGTTCCTCGCACACTTACCCAATCGGTTGCCAACATATCGGCAGATAGAGCCGATTCCATATGTTGCATTTTCAATGTCATGCTTCTTACCACTCCATTGGTGACCAGCAGCGATTTCTGCAGTTTATCGAAAGCCTCAAAACAATATTGTTTATCGAATTGCAGATCCTTATTATAGGTGGAGGGTATACCCTTGATGGTCATCATAATGCCAGTTAGACAAGAAAATAAATTTCCCGACATTCCGCGCACCAATTCCAAGCTGTCGGGGTTACGTTTTTGTGGCATCAAACTGCTGCCCGTGGAGAAGTCATCGGCAATTTCAATGAAATCAAATTCCTTGGTGGCATAGATGATCAAATCCTCGGCCAAGCGGGAGAGATGCAAGCCAACCATGGAACAACAATAAACGAAGTCAACTATGGGAGAAACGAAAATTATTGTAGACCTTGGAAAAAAATTATTTAAAAAATCCACCCCTATTGTAGACCTTAGAAAAAATGATTTCAAAATTCAGCCTGGCTGAATTAAGATTTTCTTCAATTCAGCTTGGCTGAATTAAGGTTTTCTGTAGAAAATCTACAATTCAGCCTGGCTGAATTAAGGTTTTCTATAGGAAATCTTCAATTCAGCCTGGCTGAATTAAGGTTTTCTATAGGAAATCTTCAATTCAGCCTGGCTGAATTTAGGTTTTCTATAGGAAATCTTCAATTCAGCCTGGCTGAATTAAGGTTTTCTATAGGAAATCTTCAATTCAGCCTGGCTGAATTATGGTTTTCTATAGGAAATCTTCAATTCAGCCTGGCTGAATTAAGGTTTTCTATAGGAAATCTTCAATTCAGCCTGGCTGAATTAAGGTTTTCTATAGGAAATCTTCAATTCAGCCTGGCTGAATTAAGGTTTTCTATAGGAAATCTTCAATTCAGCCTGGCTGAATTAAGGTTTTCTATAGGAAATCTTCAATTCAGCCTGGCTGAATTAAGGTTTTCTATAGGAAATCTTCAATTCAGCCTGGCTGAATTAAGGTTTTCTATAGGAAATCTTCAATTCAGCCTGGCTGAATTAAGGTTTTCTATAGGAAATCTTCAATTCAGCCTGGCTGAATTAAGGTTTTCTATAGGAAATCTTCAATTCAGCCTGGCTGAATTAAGGTTTTCTATAGGAAATCTTCAATTCAGCCTGGCTGAATTAAGGTTTTCTATAGGAAATATTCAATTCAGCCTGGCTGAATTAAGGTTTCTATAGGAAATCTTCAATTCAGCCTGGCTGAATTAAGGTTTCTATAGGAAATCTTCAATTCAGCCTGGCTGAATTAAGGTTTCTATAGGAAATCTTCAATTCAGCCTCGCTGAATTAAGGTTTCTATAGGAAATCTTCAATTCAGCCTGGCTGAATTAAGGTTTCTATAGGAAATCTTCAATTCAGCCTGGCTGAATTAAGGTTTCTATAGGAAATCTTCAATTCAGCCTGGCTGAATTAAGGTTTCTATAGGAAATCTTCAATTCAGCCTGGCTGAATTAAGGTTTCTATAGGAAATCTTCAATTCAGCCTGGCTGAATTAAGGTTTCTATATGAAATCTTCAATTCAGCCTGGCTGAATTAAGGATTTCTGTAGAAAATCTTCAATTCAGCTTAGCTGAATTAAGGTTTTCTATAGGAAATCTTCAATTCAGCCTGGCTGAATTAAGGTTTTTGTGGGAAATCTTCAATTCAGCCTGGCTGAATTAAGGTTTCTATAGGATTGGAGATTTCCATGGAAAAAATTATTTAAAAAATCCACGCTTAATATGGTCCTCGAAAAAAAAAGTATTTCCCTTTCCCTTCCACTCACCCACAAAATCACGATCACCCACAGCATGCATGCTATTCGCTGTGACAGCAGCAAATCCCAATCTCTCCGCCAACCATACCCTATCAATTTGTAGTGGATTACCAGCCAAGGCACCACTGCCCAAGGGCAAGACATTTGCCCTTACCCGCAAATCACACAGACGTAAACAATCTTCACGCAGAGCGAAAGCATGCGACAGCAACCAATGGGAGAACAACACCGGTTGGGCTCTCTGCAGGTGAGTATAGCCCGGCATCAGGACATTCAAATGCTGTTGAGCCTGTTCGCACATCGTTTCAATAACCTCACTCAAACTTTCACATGTCTCTCGTATGGCTTTACGCATCCACAGTTTCATATCGGTAATGACCTGATCATTACGACTGCGTCCCGTGTGCAAGCGCTGTCCTACCTCACCAATTAACTCTGTCAAACGCCTCTCATTGACGGTGTGGACATCCTCATCGGAGGGTAAGAATTTAATTAGACCCTCTATCCAATCGTAACGTACCAATTTGAGGCCCTTTAAAATGGAATCACATTCCTCCGCTGTTAAATAGCCAGCCTTGGCCAAGGCTTCCGCATAGGCCTTACTGCCATCGATGTCATCGGCAAAGAGTCGAGAATCGATGGGTAAACTGCAATTAAGCTCCGCCAGGCATTCATTTATTTTACCAGCATTTTTACCAAAACGTCCTCCCCATAATTGTTGTTGCTGCTGCTGCTGCTGCTGTTGTTGTTGTGCCATCTTATCGTCTTTGCGGCTGCTGTTCTTTTTTCCGGAATATGTAGCTGCCCAACGATCTTGACACTTTGAGATTAAAATCACAACTGTTTCTTTGGGTTCCATTATCTCTCAATTCTGCCGTGTCGGAAAATAATTTCTATTTTTTTTTCTTATCAGTAAAAAAATTAGAATACAAATTGTTTTTGTTGTTGTTGTTGTTGGTTTGTTTTCTTCAAATCCGTCTACAAACAAACAATTATTTACCAGACAGAACAGAAAAATTCTTAAACATAGCATCTCTAATAAACCAACATCTCTAATAATCGAAAAAAAATTATTTCAAAAATCAGCGCCTCATGGGGACTTATTTAGCTGGCTTATGACAGAACTTTCGTTCCATAAGCCGAACTTAAAAAAAGATTTCCACGTGCGTCGGTTTTTTTGCGCAGTTTTTCCAGTTTGAAGGATCATATTCGGCAATGTTGTCCTCCACCTGAAATTTCCATCTAATTCGTGGCCTTCCCCTGCTGCGTGAACCATCAGCTGGTTCGCTTTTATATGTCTTCTGAGCCTCTGGGGCATCTTCATCCATTCTCACAACATGACCTAGCCAACGTAGTCGCTGCAGCTCAATACGTCCGAACAATGTCGATGTCCGAGAATAGCTGGTACAACTCATGGTTCATTCGACGGTGATATTCCGTCCGTCAACGCAGATCGGCCCATAGATATTTCGGAGAATTTTTCTTTCTATCACCCCAAGAGCTGCCTCATCTGCTTGCGCAAGTACCCATGCTTCAGATCCATATAACAGCACGGGTAGTATCAGCATCTTGTAGAGTGTGAGTTAGGTCTAGCGGGAGGTGGCCTTACTTTTGAGTTGTTTGCTCAGACCATAGTAGCATCTGTTGGCCATCACAATCCTTCTCCGAATTTCGAAACTGATGTCATTCGTTTTATTTATGGCGGTACCAAGGTATATAAAATCTTTAACTACCTCAAAGCTGTAGTTTTCAAGTTCCACAGTTGGTCCGAGTCTTCTGGACGTCTTGCGCATTGATACCATCAGTTTGGTCTTTTCGCCATTTACTGCCAGACCGTCTTTGGCAGAATCCTTCTCAATTTGTTCAAATGTGGCTGTTACCGCTCGCAATGTTCGACCCATTATGTCGATGTCCGGCGGGGTAGGCGAGTAACTGGTGTTGTTTGGTGTACAGAGTGCCATTTCTGTTCAACTTTGCTTCTCGTATGACCTTTTCCAGCAGGATGTTAAAAAGGTCACAAGACAAACTGTCACCTTGTCTGAATCCTCGTTCGGTATTATAGGGCTCCGAGAGGACCTTTCCGAATTTAACTGCCGATCTTGTGTCACTTAAAGTTATCCTGCATAGTCGTATTAATTTAGCAGGAATGCCGAACGTATACATGACTTTAAACACCTCTGAACGGATAGGGCTATCGAATGAGGCTTTATAGTCGACGAATAGGTGGAATGTGTCGATGTGTGGTTTCGTGGGGTTTTTTCCAAGATTTGGTGCAGAGTGGAAATCTGGTCAATGGTGGTCTTGCCAGGTTTGAAGCCGCATTGGTATGGTTCAATAATATTATTGACCTGGCTTCAATCGTTCACACAGCACGCTGGATAGCACTTTATATGCGATGGAAAGGAGACTTATTCCTCTATTGTTGGCACATATCGACTTGTCTTCTTTGATTGTGCACGGGACACAGGATGCTGAGGTTCCAATCATTAGGTATGCATTCCTCTAGCCAAATTGTACGAATCAGCTGGTGCATGATCCTTACCAGCATCTGACCACCAGTCTTGAATAGTTCGGTTGGTAAACCATCGGCTCCTGCCGCTTTATTATTCTTCAGCCGATTAAATGATATTCTGACCTCATCTTGGCTAGGTGGTATACACTGTATACCATCATCTATTATTGGTTCTGGGGTATCCTCTTCACCGCTACTATTTGATAGCAGAACCTTTTCAAAATGCTCCTTCCAGATCCTCAGAACGCTGTCTGTATCTGTCACCAGGTTTCCTTCTTCATCTCTATAGGAGGATGTGCCTGCACCAAAGCCTTCAGTTTGGTGTTTTACCGGTTGGTAAAATTTCCAGACTTCATTTCGACTCCTGTACATCTCGATTTGCTCACGCTCACGTTTTCCTTTTCTCCCGATAATTTTCCATCGCATTACGTGCTGCTACTGCCCGCAGGGTTGCCCTATACACTCCTGATCGTACCATGGGTTTCTTGGTGGTGGTTTTTGGTACTCAAGTGTTGTTTTTGCTGCAGGGCAATTCTTTGCCATTGTGCTTCTATACCATTATCGGGACAAGAAGTCCTTTCGTCAAACAGGTGGATAAGTTGAGCGGTGTAGGCCTCGACTACCTGTTGTGGTTGCAGCTTTTCGACGTCAAATTTTCGTGTTACATTAGATCGCACCTTTGCTGCTGCATTAAAACGGGTGTGAACCTTGGCTGCTACAAGGTAGTGGTCCGAATCGATATTCGCTCCTCGGATCGATCGAACGTCTAATATACTGAATGAATCCCTTCCATCTATCACAACATGATCAATTTGATTTCTCGTTGCTTGATTAGGAGAAATCCAGGTACCCTTGTATATATCGAGATGCTTGAATCTGGTGCTACTAACTTCCATGTTTTTTGCTGCCGCGAAGTTAATCAACCTCATATCGGATGTTTCTTCATGGAGGCTGAATTTTCCGACAGAGGCACCCAAAATATTTTCCCTTCCGATTTTTGCATTAAAATCTCCTAGCAGAATTTTAATGCCATGACCAGGGCAACGGTCATATGCTGTTTCTAGGCGCTCGTAAAATATGTCTTTGGTCTGTTCATCTTTATCTTCCGTCGGAGCATGGGCGCAAATAAAACCGATGTAGAAGAACTTCGCTTTTATATGGATTATAATAATTCGCTCATCTACTGGAGTGAATCTGGTGACGAGGTTTTTTATTCTCCTGTTGACCATAAATTCGCAGCCAAATTCATGTCTCGTTTCATGGCAGCTATAATACAGGGCAGCTATAATAGGCGTGGATTTTTTAAATAATTTTTTTTCAGGGTCCCTATGAGGCGTGGATTTTTTAAATAATTTTTTTCAGGGTCCCTATGAGGCGTGGATTTTTTAAATAATTTTTTTCAGGGTCCCTATGAGGCGTGGATTTTTTAAATAATTTTTTTTCAGGGTCCCTATGAGGCGTGGATGTTTTAAATAATTTTTTTTTCAGGGTCCCTATGAGGCGTGGATGTTTTAAATAATTTTTTTTCAGGGTCCCTATGAGGCGTGGATGTTTTAAATATTTTTTTTCAGGGTCCCTATGAGGCGTGGATTTTTTAAATATTTTTTTTCAGGGTCCCTATGAGGCGTGGATTTTTTAAATAATTTTATTTCAGAGTCCCTATGAGCCGAGGATTTTTTTCAAATAATTTTTTCAGGGTCCCTATGAGGCGTGGATTTTTTAAATATTTTTTTCAGGGTCCCTATGAGGCGTGGATTTTTTAAATAATTTTTTTTCAGGGTCCCTATGAGGCGTGGATTTTTTAAATAATTTTTTTTCAGGGTCCCTATGAGGCGTGGATTTTTTAAATAATTTTTTTTCAAGGTCCCTATGAGGCGTGGATTTTTTAAATAATTTTTTTTCAAGGTCCCTATGAGGCGTGGATTTTTTAAATAATTTTTTTTCAGGGTCCCTATGAGCCGAGGATTTTTTTCAAATAATTTTTTCAGGGTCCCTATGAGGCGTGGATTTTTTTAAATATTTTTTTTCAGGGTCCCTATGAGGCGTGGATTTTTTAAATAATTTTTTTACGTTAAGGGTCAACCGAAAAAGCTGCCCACAGAAAGAAGTTTTTTTATTTTATTGATTTAAAATTTTGTTAAAAATAAATGTTTTTTTTGTTACATAATTTGTAGTTGATATATATTTGTTTGTTTGTGTGTGTGTTTGTAAATGACATATATTAAATATATATATATAGAATTAAATCAACATATGCTGCCGAATTCAATTAACACTGGGACTGTTGGGTGTATAGTTAATGGGTTCCTGTTCATAGAATCGTTCGGTTTTCTCCAATTGGGTATACCCAGTCATGGGTGAGTTCATGGGTGGAGCCATTTTACCACCAGAGATCAGAACGCCCAAACTTTGTTGTAACTGCCAGCGGCGAGCTTCGCGTATGGACTTGTTGCGTCTCAGGGTCTTGGCTAACATGAAGGCACACAAGGCACCCAAAAGCTAGGGAGGGAGGAAACAAAAACCGAAAAATATTAGAAATGTGAGCTAAGAAAATCCACCACAAAAATCTCCTACCTGTACAAAAGCCACAGTGGTGGCCCCGGTGGCAATCAACATGGTACTCTGCGAAATAATGAAATCCATGCGTCCGAAACAACCCGTATCGTATTGTTTATCACATTCCCTTGGGTCGTAGGCATTGAAGAGGCCACAGCAGGAGTCGGGTACATTGATGCGATTAGCTTGGCCATTCACTGTGTTGTTGGGTTGTTCAATGAAATTGACCCAGTCACGGGGACCATCAACACCACAGCATTCCAAACCGCTTTGCATGAAATCTACACCGGCCTGGATATATTCGTTCTTTTCATAGTTGGCCAACGAATCGTTCATGGTGCGTACCAACATTTCACGGACCTGACCCTGCATAACAAAGGCGGCGATCGAGGCCGACACCTCCAAAATGAAGACCATAAACAAGCAGACACCATACTGGAAAAAGAGAAGGGTTGATTACTACGTTCCAAGGGTTCTGAATAATTTCGGGTCTACAACTTACCAAATTAATGAGCATCACACTCTCCTTGATGGCACCATAGGCACCCAGGGTGGCAACAAACAACAAAATGAAACCAATGGCAATCAACAAGGCTGGGGGCGAGAGGAAGTGATCGTCCACAAATTGACGGAAATCACCAAAAATGGCTTGGATGGTGGAGCCAACCATTACCAAGAGGATGGCGGTGATCTGGAAGGAAATTACAATAAGTAATTAATTAAAACTAACCACGCCTCATAAGCATCCTCAAAAAAAAAAAAAAATATTTAAAAAATCTACGCCTTTACATAAAATCGGACGAAAATATATATGCGAGCTATATGTAAATCTGAAACGATTTTTACGAAATTTAACACACATCGTTCTGGACTTAATTCAGTAAGCTATGCCAAATTTCATGCAAATCGAAGGATATATAGAGACTTGTGTGTGCCATTTACCTAAAATCGGACGAAAATATATATGGGAGCTATATGTAAATCTGAACCGATTTTCACGAAATTTAACACACATCGTTCTAGACTTAATTCAGTACGCTGTGCCAAATTTCGTGCAATTCGAAGGACATTTAGGGACTTTGGTGCCCCATTTACACTAAATCGGACGAAAATATATATGGGAGATATATCTAAATCTGAACCGATTTTCTCGAAACTTAACACACATCGTTCTAGACTTAATTCAGTACGCTATGTCAAATATCGTGCAAATCGTAAGATATATAGGGACTTTGGTGCACCATTTACATAAAATCGGACGATAATATATATGGGAGCTATATCTAAATCTGAACCGATTTTTACGAAATTTAACACACATCTTTCTAGACCTAATTCAGTACGTTATACCAAATTTCGTGCAAATCGAAGTATATATAGGGACTTTGGTGCACTATTTACCTAAAATCGGACGATAACATATATGGGAACTATATGTGATTTTTCCCAATTCGGGTTCGTCCTTGGGTCAAATAAGTGACTTGTGCCAAATTTCATCCAAATCGGATCATAAATGCGACCTGTATTTTGTTTACAATTTAACATCTGTTAAGGACCTTGAAAAAAATTATTAAAAAAATCCACGCCACATATTGACCCTCCACGGCTGTTAAGGACCTTGAAGAAATTATTCAAAAAATCCACGCCACATATGAACCCTTCACGCCTGTTAAGGACCTTGAAAAAAATCTATTTAAAAAATCTACGCCTCATAGGGACCCTACACGCCTGTTAAGGGCTTTGAAAAAAATTATTTAAAAAATCCACGACTTATAGGGACCTCAAAAAAAATCTATTTAAAAAATCTACGCCTCATAGGGACCCTCCACGCCTGTTAAGGGCTTTGAAAAAAATTATTTAAAAAATCCACGACTTATAGGGACCTCAAAAAAATTATTTAAAAAATCTATGCCACATATGGACCCTCCACGCTTCATAGGGACTTTGAATGAAATTATTTAAAAAAATCTATGCCACATATGGACCTTCCACGCCTGTTAAGGACCTTGAAAAAAATTATTTAAAAAATCTATGCCACATATGGACCCTCCACGCCTGTTAAGGACCTTGAAAAAAATTATTTAAAAAATCTATGCCACATATGGACCTTCCACGCCTGTTAAGGACCTTGGAAAAGAACTATTTAAAAAATCCACGCCTTATAGGGACCCTAAAAAATTTTATTTATAAAATCCACGCCACATATGGACCCTCCACGCCTGTTAAGGACCTTGAAAAAAATTATTTAAAAAATCCACGCCTCATAGGGACCTTGGAAAAAATTATTTAAAAAATCCACGCCTCATAGGGACCTTGGAAAAAATTATTTAAAAAATCCACGCCTCATAGGGACCTTGGAAAAAATTATTTAAATAATCCACGCCACATATGGACCCTCCACGACTTTTAAGGACCTTGAAAAAAATTATTCAAAAAATCCACGCCTCATAGGGACCTTGGAAAAATTATTTAAAAAATCCACGCCTTATGTGGACCTTGTAAACATTTTTTTTATTCCCTTCATTATTATTCATACCTCGTTAATGTTGAGATAAGATACGGAATATCTATGGTGTTTTGTGAAATCGAAATGTGACTCAGCCTAACAAATAGGTCTGAGGAGGAACAAAACAATAATATGAATATCATTTGAGGAAGGAGGCCCAGGGATAACACCGTGATCCTTATTGGGAGCCCACGAAATAATTTTCAAGAATTGAGTTCAAAGATGTCCCACAAAATTAAATGGAGACTAGGCAGGTCTATTTGTCCACCAAAAATGTTCTAAGAATTGAGGTCAGATTCCTTAGAAGAGATCCATTTTTGGAGTGTCTCCCCTTCAGGGTGGGTCACTACAGGTTGCCCTGGCCCCTGACCTTTAAATATGGTTCTCTGGAGTGTTATTGGGAAATGTACATGGATTGTTTTATTATCCACTTATATTTCCCAATAACAAAAATAACCGAGCAACAATTATGAATTATTAATGTGTGTGTGTGTGAGGACGTCACACCAACACACGCATACACACACACACCTGAATGGAATTAAATAAATATAGATAACAAGAACCCATTGAATGACTAGACCAGCCGTACAAAAATCAAGGTAACAAAATGGCGTTAACCAACAACATCTAGAGGAAATATTGGAACAAAAATTCGATACTCGAAGGACCAAAAATAGGACCCAAATGATAAAAAAAATATTTTTCGAAGTGATACTTACAGCAAACATAAAGCTCACAATGAGCAGCATATATTTGGCGCAACGCATGCCGGAATTCAATTGTAAATCCCTGATGGCCATAGTGTACTTCGATCGGTCGTTACGTTACTTCGAAAAAAATATATATTCTGCAACTGTTTATTTTTTTTAATTTTTCACTAAAATATGGAAATGATTTTTTTTATTATTAATATTTGTTGTTGTTGTTTTTTTAGCTATTAAATATATTTTTTTTTCTCTTACAACTCTTTACCTGCCAGGTTACAGAAATACTAAATATTGAAAAGCTTTTTTTACCTATTCGAATAAAAATAAATGAGGAAGAAGAAGAAGAACAACAGTCATAATTTTTGTGTTAACTTTTGCTATTATTTGTTCTCAGTTCGGAATTGAGGCTCGTGATGTTGTTGTTGTAGAGGAAAGGTGTTTTGTGTTCATTATCAGTACAGTAGGGTATGGATTTATGCTATTCGCTTTATGAAGACCTCGAAAAAAAATTATTTAAGAAATCCACGCCTCATAGGGACCCTCGAAAAAAATTATTTAAGAAATCCACGCCTCATAGGGACCCTCGAAAAAAATTATTTAAGAAATCCACGCCTCATAGGGACCCTCGAAAAAAATTATTTAAGAAATCCACGCCTCATAGGGACCCTCGAAAAAAATTATTTAAGAAATCCACGCCTCATAGGGACCCTCGAAAAAAATTATTTAAGAAATCCACGCCTCATAGGGACAGAAAAAAATTATTTAAGAAATCCACGCCTCATAGGGACCCTCGAAAAAAATTATTTAAGAAATCCACGCCTCATAGGGACCCTCGAAAAAAATTATTTAAGAAATCCACGCCTCATAGGGACCCTCGAAAAAAATTATTTAAGAAATCCACGCCTCATAGGGACCCTCGAAAAAAATTATTTAAGAAATCCACGCCTCATAGGGACCCTCGAAAAAAATTATTTAAGAAATCCACGCCTCATAGGGACGTTCAAAAAATTATTTAAGAAATCCATGCCTCATAGGTACTCTCAAAAAAATTATTTAAGAAATCCACGCCTCATAGGGACGTTCAAAAAATTATTTAAGAAATCCATGCCTCATAGGTACTCTCAAAAAAATTATTTAAGAAATCCACGCCTCCTCACCTAATATTACTTATTTACTAAGCTGGCTGTGACAGACCTTTCATTCCATAAACCGAGCTTAAGCAAGATCATATTCGACAATGTTGTCCTCCACTTGGTATTTCCATCTTATTCGTGGCCTTCCCCTTCTGCGTGAACCATCAGCTGGTTCGCTTTTATAAGCCTTTTGGGCTGGGGCATCTTCATCCATGCTTCAAATCCATATAACACAGCACGGGTAGAATCAGCGTGTTGTAGAGTGTAAGTTTGGTCAGGCGTGAGGTGGACTTGTTTCTAAACTGCTTACTTAGACCATGGTAGCATCTGTAGGCCATCACAATCCTTCTCCGAATTTCAAAAATAATGTCATTCATTTTATTTATGGCGGTACCAAGGTATATAAAATCTTTAACTACCACGAAGCTGCAGTTCACAAGTTCCGCAGTTGGTCCAAGTCTACTGGACGTCTTGCGCGTTGATACTATTAGCTTGGTCTTCTCGGCGTTTACTGCCAGACCCACTCTGGCAGACTCCTTCTCAATTTGTTCAAAGGTGGCTGTTACCGCTCTCAGTGTTCGACCCATAATATCGATGTCATCGGCATAGGCGAGTCACATGTGTTGTTTGTGTACAGATTATTCTGTTCACCTTCGCCTCTCGTATGACCTTTTCCAACAGGATGTTAAAATGGTCACGCGACAAACTGTCACCATGTCTGAATTCTCGTTCGGAATTAAAGGGCTCCGAGAGGTCCTTTCCGACTTTAACTGCTGACCTTGTGCCTGTTAAAGTTATCCTGAATAGCCGTAATAATTTTGCAGGAATGCCGAACGTAGACATGACTTTAAACACCTCTGAACGTATAGGGCTATCGAATGCGGCTTTTTAGTCGACAAATAGGTGGAATCGATGTCGATGTGTTTTTCGTGGGTCTTTTCCAGGATTTGACGCAGAGTGAAAATCTGGTCAAAGGTGGATTTGCCATGTCTGAAGCCGCATTGGAGTGGTCCAATAATGTCCTTGACCATTGGCTTCAGTCGTTCACCACACAGCACGCTGGTTAGCATTTTATATGCGATGGGAAGAAGGCTAATTCCTCTATAGTTGGCACATATCGTCTTGTCTCCTTTTTTATGCACGGGGCACAGGATGCTGAGGTTCCAATCATTGGACATGGATCCTTCTAGGCAAATTGTACTAATCAGCTGGTGCTTGCTCCTTACCAACACCTGAACACCAGTCTTGAATAGTTCGGATTTTAATTCATCGGCTCCTGCTAGTATATTATTCTTCAGCCGATTGATTTTTATTCTGACCTCATCTTGGTTAGGTGGTATACACTCTATACCGTCATCTATTATTGGTTCTGAGGTATCTTCTTCACCGCTACTATTTGATACCAGAAGTTGTTCAAAATGCTCCTTCCAGATACCCAAAACGCTGTCTGCATCTGTCACCAGGTTTCCTTCTTCATCCCTACAGGAGGATGTGTCTGCACCAAAGCCTTCGGTTTGGTGTTTTACCCGTTAGTAAAATTTTCGGACTTCATTCGGACTCCTGTACATCTCGATTTGCTCATTTCTGAACATACGATTCTCCTCTCTCCTTTTCTCCCGATAATTCTCCATCACATTACGTATTGCTATTGTCTGCAGGGTTGCCCTATACGCTACGTTTTTCACATCAGTAACATTACGTCACTCCTGATCGTACCACGGATTTCGTGATGGTGGTCTTTGGTACCCAAGTATGGTTTTTGCTGCAGTTTGTAGGGAGTGGGTAATTCCCTGCCACTGTGCTTCTATACTATTATCGGGACAAAGGGTGCTTTCGCAGTTGGGTAAGTTGAGCGGTGTAGGCTTCGGCTAACTGTTGTGGTTGCAACTTTTCGACGTCGAGTTTCCGTGTTACATTAGATCGCACCTTTGCTGCAACATTAAGACGAGTGCGAACCTTCGCTGCCACAAGGTAATGGTCCGAATCGATATTCGCTCCTCGGATCGATCGAACGTCTAAAACACTGGACGAATGCCTACGGTCTATCACAACATGATCGATTTGATTTCTCGCTGCTTGATCAGGAGAAATCCAGGTGGCCTTGTGTATATCGAAGCTTGAATCTGGTGCTGCTAACTACCATGTTTTTGCTGCCGCGAAGTCAATCAACCAGATGCCGTTGTCGGATGTTTTTTCGTGGAGGCTGTATTTTCCGACGGTGCGGCCAAAGATATTTTCCCTTCCGATTTTTTGATTAAAATCTCTTGGCAGAATTTTAATGTCATTGCCAGGGCAGCGATCATATGCTGTTTCTAGGCGCTCGTAAAAATGTCTTTGGTCTTTTCATCTTTGCCGTCCGTCGGAGCATGGGAGCAAATAAGACTGATGTAGAAGAACTTCGCTTTTATACGGATTATAGCAATTCGCTCATCTACTGGAGTGAATCTGGAGACGAGGTCTTTTATTTTCCTGTTAGCCATAAATCCGCAGCCAAATTTATGTCTCGTTTCATGGCAGCTATAATACAGGGCGTAATCATCTGATTTACTTACACCAGACCCTTTCCATCGCATTTCCTGTAAGGAAGTAATATCGGCTTTGTACTTCTTGAGTACATCTGCCAAAGCGAGAACTGTGCCTGTTCTGTACAACGGGCACATATTTCAAGTGCAGATTCGCAGATCGTGGTCCTTTATACGTTTGCGGGGGTCGTCGACATTGGTAGGGGGATTTGGTTCTCTTTTTCTTTGCTTTTTCATAGTAGGTTCGGGTTTCCGAGTGTGGACAACTAGCCCGACGCCTCAACCCATTTTTTTTATAGTTCTTATGGGTGAACTCGCGGCGCATATCAGCTCACTATTTCAACGGGTGATGAAAATAGCTATCCCAGATAGCAACACGGGGACTTCTGTATCCACAATTGAGATAAAAGAGGGACCAAGATAAGCCAGGACTTCGCCATGTTAAAGCCAACCAGGGCCGTTGCTTGATATATATCATCCCCTACGTCACCCATCCACGTCTCATAGAGACCCTCAAAAAATTTTTTTAACGAAAATCCACTCCTCATAGGGAGGTAATAAAAAATTATTTAAAAAAAATCCATGCCTCATTTGTTTACCATATCCAGACCCTACTGTACTTACTTCGCCTGGGTGAAAAATAAAAACAGCTTTCCAACTAGGGTTGAAGTGGGAGTACTGTAGGCTAACTTCAAAAAGAAGAACAACATATGGAATCTCACACTCTTTTTTCGGTTTCTCTCTCTCCCTCAAACCGAAAATAGATAACAACAATTAAAAGCGATATGATAAGAACACGATATTTGTTGTTGTAGTTGTTGTCAACACCACTTGTATATTTTCGCAATATTATTTTTCTTTATGGAATTTACTGGGTCATTTAATAATTATTTTAACCCGAACTTTTTTTGGGAGAAAATCACTAACACAAAAACAACCACGAAAATATTCTGCAGCTTTTTTTTTTTCTTATCAGAAAAAATTGAGGAATTTCAAAATTGTATTTCTTAAATTTTTCACTTCTTTAAATAACAAATAATTTTTTTCCGAACCGTTTAGGGTGAATTGAAAATTGTTTTGTGGTTGGGTATTTGCTTTGCGGCCTAATATGTCGGCCATATGTCTGTCCTATTGACATATAACCTGCTGGCTGGTTTTGGTTGCCTTGGAGATGCAACCCATGCTACCTACCCCTGGGTCTAGGTGGTTGCTTGGACTACACGTGAAGGAAAATTATTGATTTTGTTGAGGGGGAAATATAGGGTAACACCAAAGTTAACAACAAATTTTTGTAATAAAGAAAAATGAATTTGTGTAGGCCCCTCAAAATTAATTTTAGAACATCTACATATTTTGGAGCTATATCGAAATCTGAACCGATTAACCCGAAACTTACCACACATCATTCTAGACTCAGTTCATTACGCTATGCGAAATTTCGTGCAAATCAAATGATA